TTAAAATAATGCAGTATAATCTGATAACAGCAATTTTATATATATCACTAAGATTCCTTCTAACATAAAATTATATATTCCACTCCTTTTAAATTCTTTAAACATAATTTGCGAATATATTTCCCTTTTCAATATAGTTTTTAATGTATGTTATTTTAAATAAGAGTCATTGTCTTTATTTGTAACATATTGTTTACTAAATCTTAAACTGGAATTTAGGTGCAATTATAAAAAATCTCATGTGTACACCACATGATTTCTTTGTACGGAATATTAAATTATACGCATTTTTTCTTGCATTTCATTTAAACTTATTGGATTGAATTAAATCTACTTCGCCGACAGCGCATAAACCACAATAGAATAAATGCATTCTTTAAAATTCACTCTAGTATTTGTTTACCATAGCGACACTCTGGCGCTAGATTCACTTAAAAGTATTATATTTCGTTCATATTATAACTCATTATGCACAAAATTTATATCATTTAAAGAACAGAATTATCTAATCGTTGCCACATGTTATATTCAAATACTATAATAAAGCTAGAATGATTTATAAAGGAAATTAAGCAAACAAAACAAAAAAGAACAGTTTTTTCACAGACGATTGAGTATTTCTCATTCATATAATTCAGTTCTCACTTCGCGAGAAGGCAAAAATACATAAAAACTCAAAATATCTATATTAAATTTTACAAAGTAAATCTTAAACACATATTTCTTCGAAAAAATTCCAGTAAGGATTAAGCATGATTTAATTGGCAATAATAAACGAAGGCGTTATCTTTGTTGTTGAGAAGCTAAGTTTCTCTAGATTGGCAACAAATCCACTAGTCTGCTGTTTCAAATGTAAACAATCAATGACCGCCTTAAAAAAAAAAAGTCTTAGCGGCACTTAAACAACTTTAAAATTGTTGATAATTCTAAAAATATTGGATACAGATTTACTAAAGGCATAAAAACCTTAACCAGAAGATGAAAACAACATAATTCAATCCTTTTTAAAGCAAAAAATGTACAATTTACAAACATATACGAGTAAAGAAACTGAGATCACTGAGCCGGGTAACAGAGTGGATATATATATATAAATATATTTATATACATTTGGTGCGGCCGATTGCAACCAAAATACGAGGTGCACATCTACATGTTATAGCAGTCCTATATACAAAATTTGAACGTTCTGAGGCTACTGGTTTTTGAGTTATGCGAGATACGTACGTACGTATGTACACTGCTCAAAAAAAAAAAAAAAAAAAAAAAAAAAAAGGGGGGGGGACAGTCCTATATCTCCCGATCTACTGGGCCGATTGACAAAATTAAAATTGCGTTCTTCATGTCTCAAAAGCGCGACTTAGGATATATATTAGATTTATATATAGCACTATTCTAACATAGGTATTTTGACACAAAATCGGACTTTTTCTGAAATAACATACCAATTTTTTTACATATTTCGATTCTACGACTCAAATTACGCCTAAATATGAAATTTTGTAAAATTTAGAGCGAAATTTACGGAGAAATTCACAAATTTATGTTGGCACTTTTTTGTCAGTTTGCGCCAAGAATACTTCACTTGGCGAACTTCTTAATATATGGCAACCTAGTTTCCTTTCCCGTGAGAGGAAAAAAAGTCACCATGTTCCTTTTTTCCAAATAATATTCTTTATATTATATTTTAATTATAACTTATTATTTTAAGTATTTTTTTTCTTTTTCGAATTTCATTTTAATTGTTTAAGTTGTGCACGTTTTTTTTTTTTTTTTTCGAATAACTGTTTTAAAAATTTCTATTTACCTATTCGAACTGCGTAAATAAAGTGCAGCGTTTATTTTTTTTTTTTTTTTTCAAATAGTTTTCTTTATATATATTTTTCGTCATAGTTATTATTTTAGGTAATTTTTAAATTTTTATACTTTTATTTTAATTGTTTGTGTTGCGTTGTCTCTTCAGATAATTGTTTTAAAATTTTCTATTTATTCCTTCGACCTGAGCATTTTAAATATATTTATTAATATCAATTTTCCAGAATTTGATTTTATTTATTTGAACTGCGTTTCTTTCGGAAGAATACTTTGTAACCCAGACTACGATGAGTTTGAAAACTGCATGCTATATTAAAAGAGAAAATACAGTAAAGCACAGTTTTACACGCCTTTCAATGTTCCGTTCAGAAAAGCTATATATAAATAAGAGAGATGTATAACCGACATTTTAACTTAGGATGACTTGCATACACTGCTTTAAACAGTTTTATCATTGTGCCCATTGCTTTACACAATTTTATCCTACATTTGGTTTCTTAAAATGTTATTCATATTTTAGTCAAATATTTATTTTTGAAATCGCAAGAATCAAATATCATAACATTGAAAAGTTTTAAATTAAAAAAATACAAATACTAAATTTTACGAAAAAGTTTATTTTTCTTCTCTTTTTCTTTAAGCATTCTGAAAGTATATTAAAAAGTATCCAACTTTTCGAAACATTTTGGTATTTCTGACAATCGTTTTAAATAAAGTTATCGCCTTCCATTTCATAAAGGCCCACAAACGGCCGAGCGGTAAAGACGCTGTTCACTGGTAGTTCGGTCCGAGGTTCGAATCCCGCGAACAGGCTGGTTGCATGGGTGTTATCGTGGTTTTCCCGATGTGTAACGTGTATACGAGCCAGTTTCCCTTAGAAAGTCCTCCACGAAGGCATCCCTCCCTTTAGGCAGATAGCCCTCGTGTGCTTTGCCATATTTAAAGAATCCAATCCAATCCAATCTAATCCTTAATTAAATATAATTGATTTGTAACTTCTACTAGAACTGACGTTAAGAATTGAAGTGCAAATAAATAATATCATGTGCAATCTTGATTAATATAAAATTTAAAATATCTGCACAGAAATATATTTGCATTTAGACAGAAAGTTTTTCGAAATATTTGCAATTACTTTATAAGAAGGATTTATTAATAACCGTAATAATTACTTATTATATTACTGATGATTAGCAATCAGTTCTTGACAATTACATTCTAAATTAGAATTATAAGAATTATTAGAATTTTAAATTAGAATAATGAAAATACGCTACGCACAAAAATACATTTTAGGATAAAAAATGAGTTGATTTTTTATGTTTTAAAACTTCTTGAATTCATTTAATAAACATCGTATCCTCGTTGTTAATTGAATTCAGAATGTTGGGTGTCGTTTATATATTCTTACTTGTCCACGGAATCTGCTGACTTATCCAGCGATTAAGTAGCTGCAGATCATTTCTACATAACCATTGAACTTCCATTAATTCAGTCTCTAGAGGGTTGTATATTTATATCATAATTTGACTTTTATAAAAATGATTATTCTAAATCTTATGTTTATAAAAAATATACTGTGCTTTAAAAATATGGATGATAGTACCAGCCGCTTTTCAGCCACTTCAAAAGCATCAGTTTGTTTTAGAAATAAATTGTGCAGTTTAATGTCATAAAATTCAAGTAAACATCAAACGAAAATTCTCAGTTTTAGACCAATTCGATTTAAACGAAGTAAAGTAGCAGACGATTAAAAACGCCGAAGGTAAAAATTTACTTTTATTTAAAAAAAAAAAAAAAAAAAAAAAAAAAAAGAGAGAAAATTTAAAAAAATATTAAAAAATTTATTTAAAAAATAGCTTTTCATATAGTATTAATAAATATTTATTACGCATCATTGAGGGAAAAAATGTCATATAATTAATTCTCCGTAAAATTTTACTTGAAATTTAAGGTTAAAAATAGCTGTGGCAATACAGTGCAACAAAAATCCATAGACCACATTTGGCGTTATTATCGCTCAAAAAAAAAAAAAAAAAAAAAAAAAAAAAAAAAGATGCCAAATTTTAAAACCCGAAAATATGTAAATTTGTGTATATCTTAGAAAATTTTGAATAAAAAAGTCTAATTTTTTGCAGATATGCTTAAAAATATACCTACTTTAAGATGATGGTAAAAATTTTATAGGTTATAATTCAAAATTTTTTTCGAAAAATTTATAAAAATTATTTTAAAAATAGAAATTTAAAAAATATAAAACACAAAAAAATGGGTAAATTTTATTTGGAATGAACCTAAATTTTCGAAATGTCAGAGAAAAAATCAAAAAAGTTTAATAAAAAAAGAGATATAAATAAATATTTGCCAAAATTCAATTAACATTGAGGAGCTAAAATTTTGAGAGCTAATATTTCAAAAACTACTCGTACGATTTTTACAAAACTTGGTATTCTGGCATAATTTGAGTCGTAGAATCGAAATATGTAAAAAAATTGGTATGTTATTTCAGAAAAAGTCCGATTTTGTGTCAAAATACGTATGTTAGAATAGTGATATATATAAATCTAATATATATCCTAAGTCGCGCTTTCGAGACATGAAGAACGCAATTTGAATTTTGTCAATCGGCCCAGTAGATCGGGAGATATAGGACTGTCCCATTTTTTTTGAGCAGTGTACATACGTTCGTACAGATGCCACAAAAAATTCTCTTCAGAATTAATTTTAAAGCAGTTTTATATTTTTTTTTGCAGGAAACGAGTCTTTTATTCTGTCCTTACGTACCGATATCACGCAAAAACATCGTTAAATTGCATTCGATAGCGGTCAAAATGGATATTTTCGTTGAAATATTCTCCCTGAAACTTTTCGCGATTACAATACTTCCTTTTTACTTCGTACAAGGAAGTAAAAATATTCATAATTAATACCTTACGTGAAAGGATTGAAATCACGCTTAATGAAAAAAAACTTACATATATTAAAATGTATGTAAGTATATATATAAAATGCATATATATAAAATTAAATTAGAATAAAATTGTCTTCTTAATTGATTGATGGCACTTGTAAATTATTTTAAAAGCTTACATTAATCATTTTGTGTTATTCAAATTCATGAATTTTTCTTTTTTGTCACCGGAATCAAAAATTATTTTTGTTGCTCAATTCAAATCCGTAATCCATTTTTTTTTCATGAAAAGAATAATTTTAATTAGGAACACACAATTAATTTTTAAATGCATAGGCATAGATCTATGTAAGCAACCAGACAGAAAATTATAAAGAGGGAAATATAGGATTTTGCGCCGCATTTTGCTAAAGAGTTTCTGTCTTGAGAGCCAGGCAAAATCGGACTGTAGATCTGTTACTGAGAATCCAGACTGCGTGATGAGTGACTAATTCTTTTAGTCCATAATTTTGTATTATAGAAGGGGTGCACAGCAGTGTAGCAACAGTGTCCTTTGAAAGACGTGTGATATACTGGAACCCCTAAATAAAAAAAAAGAGGAAAAAATTACTCAAAACCACCAGGTATGCAGTTTTTAAAACTTCAATTTTTTTTGGCCTTCGAATTTAAATTTTTCTCTGCCAATCTCAAATTGGTGAATGATGAATATGATGCGAGCTTTTACTAAAAGTTTCTGATGAGAAAAGGATGTGCAATTTAAAACTCAGTATATCGCAACACATACAGTGAACCCTTTCTAAGACGACTACCCATGACTCCAGATGATTTTTAGCTTCTGTAAAAGTAGTTGTATTAAACTCATAATGTTCAATATCGATGTTTATTTTTTAATATTAGTCATTTCAGAAGGTTATCGCCTATAGGAGGAAGTTCACTGTGTTTCAATATAATCACACATTCTTACGAACTACAGCTCACTGCTGCGAGTGCCGACTTTCGCCTACGATACTGCGGTGGTTATACAGGATTTCTGTTAGTAAAACTTTCTAGGAAACGTAAGTGGAGCAAGGGGAATAAGAGACTGAAGCATTACATCACGATGCTTCCCGGAACGAGAAAACCTTTGGATACAGAAAAAAATTTAGATATTGTGTAACTTCATAACTTCATAAAATTTTTAAAATATCTAGAAGTATATATATACTAATGTCCTTCTCAATGCATGTCAGTACTTATAAGTATATTACAAAATATTTGTATAAATTCTATTTACAAAATTTTAAACTTCCTTTATATAATTTTGAAAATAATAGAAAGATAATAATCAAAGTCATAATTCACGGCCATCGAATGATATATGTACATATATATATATGTAAGAAAAACAAAGTATATGTAAAAGATTAAATTAACAGCGTAAAATTAATTTTCCTTCTCTACTCTGAAAATAGTAATCTCTCTGCACTGCGTGATTTCGAGATTAATACGTATCATATGCCTCTTATATAATTCTGATGTTATAAATGGAAGTAAAACTCAAACAGCCGATAGTAATTTTACAGTGGTATTAATTATCAAATAAAAATGCATTGATAACTCAGTCTAACTCAGTCTGAATTAAGATTTCACCCTCAACATAACGCACTTGCTTTCTACGCTTTGGCCTAGCTGGACTGCAGACTATCTGCTCCTTCTTTCTTACTAAAAATTTATCAAAAATGTAAACTTTTGGAATAGGCATAAATAATGTGCCAACTTGTTTGTAGCTGCAACATATTTGCTGAAATAAAAGTTGAATTAAATCTACCTCTACTGCCAAATTTCTTATTTATTGTGGATTGGAGCTTCAACATCTCTAAGCCATCAAAATTCTTGCTGTTTATTACGGATTCAACAGCCTGCATTTGACTATAGAATCTGTTACACACACGCACATATATATGTATACATATCATTTGATGGTTACGAATCATGACTTTGCTTATATATATATTATTGATTTGATTATAAATATATACATATAGTAATGTATTCTCATTGCATATATTTGTATTTCAGTTGAATTGAGAAATTAAACAATGGCATTTAATCACATCGGCTTGTTTAACAATTTGATACCTAATGAAAAATGTATTGCCCAGAAATGGTACTTTCTAGCCTTTGCTTAAATTTTAAGTACCTACAATGCACTAAACCAAATTTAAACAAAGCTAGACAAAACCCTAATTTCCAGGAAGACAAACACTATTACAAGTTAAAATATTAAGCAAGCGAAAAGAATAAGGGACTTGCAAATTAGAAACTTAACAAAGAGTTCAAATTCAGCATACTTGCTATCCCATTACGACTGATAGCATCACCCTGTAGCTTATTACGACACGCACGTACATAGATGCTTTGCGTGGAAGAAAGGATGAATTCTAGAAGATAATACAGTGAAGAAATAGTAATATGCAAACACTATGTCGACCACTTCTTTACAATAATAATTGTAAAGAAGTGGTCGACATAGTGTTTAGAGTAGAGGTAGAATTAGGGTTTTTAAACTTTTTTCAGTCGTGATCCCTTTTTATCACTGAGATTCTTTCGCGACCCGCAGGACCCCATAATATTTACGAAAACTTTGTGGGACCCCATAAGCATTGCGGAAATCTGACACACGCGTGTGTGAAACTGTCAATTTCCCCCCTTGTACTGTAATATTTAATATTGCAGTTTTAGGTCATCAACTTTAATTTCTAATTTTAAGACATAGAACAATGTGAAAATTTTAAATAAGTTTCGGACGAAATGACAGCATTACCTGCAAAGCAAGTAAAATGAACGTTTCTATTATAAAAAGAATGTGCCGAAACGTTTTCGTTTTTTTCTTTGTCTGTTTAATTGTCTTGTAAAAACTTTCAATTACTTTTGCAAAATTCATACCCACATAAAAATTACTACACCTAAATCATTTACCTTACAAAAAACTATCAGTGATTTAAGTACTGTTATTTAATTATGTTCCTGACATATGTGTCACTGTCAGAGGTGGTCATTTAAGAAAATAACCACTATATGAGGTTTCACTTAACGTAATTGTTTTCAAATAATTCATTTTTTTATACTCCCAAGACTAGCACATTTAATATTACATAAACTCTAACAATTATTCACAAATCCATTTCTATTTCAAAAGCAATTTATGAAAAAAACCATTTCAAATTTTCTTCAAGCTAATAATCATGAAAATTAAAATATGCATAAAATTGATTATATGCTTTTTAACAAAATAGCACAAAATTTTTAATGTAACAATGTGGTTCTAGTCTCATACTTGTAAAGAAAAATAGACCAAGAAGAAGAAACAATGATAAATTTTCACATAATTTTAGTAGTGGGAAAAAGATTCCTTAAGCTTGTATGTCTTGTCTACCCCATTCAATAAGTAATAAACACATTAAATATTTCAATGTTTACTTCATTAATAAAACTTACCTTTTTTTGCACGCGAAATATAATTAGTGCATTTTTTAAGACATAAAAAAACATTCCTTTTTGCTCGGCCATATCACATTAGTCGAAAAATTGAAAATTGAATCATGCAAGATCATTTTTAAGTCAGGTATGCTCAAATTTATTAGTACATAATATTCAAAAGCATCTACATGAACAAGCTTTAAAAATTATTTCTAAACTGTAATCGAAAAAACAAATTTTCAAAAATACAGTTTTAGATACAGTGCAAAAACTATATCTGTGCAGCTCATGTAAACACATTGAGCCAAATTATCAAGTCTGAAATTATCACTTTTTCAGTTTTTAAGCACATTGCTTTTTAGGATAAAAGTAAAGATGGAAAATCCATTTCAGAACTAATCAGATATCAGCAAAGTTCTCTCAAACACTAGACACGATTACACGCGCATGGCTTTAGTGGCATTTGCTTTCATATTCACACTCAATACTGGTATTTTATTATTTACTTTTAATATCTAAACAGTAAAATTTGTAATATAGTAAATCAGAGTAAATTATTTATTGCATTACTACAGCTTACTATCTGCCACGATCATAACACAAACATCGCATAACAACACTAACAGAACGGCGCCATATTGCTTGTTTGGTTTGGGAAAATTCTTCTCATGGAGGTAGCGGGGGAGGGAGGGGATTTTGTTTTCTTCACGTAACACGGAGAAAATAGTTTTGCGATTGTGAATGAACGTGGCCGCGTTAAACAGATGTTGGTTGATACTGGATGTTGGTTGATTAAACAGATGTTGGTTGATTACTTTATTTGTAATATCAGAAATGTAAGTGCGTATCTATTCAGAGAAACAACTCGTGGCAAAAACCACCTCCCTAAGATGACCGCCTTTGAAAGAAACCAGTATTTCTGAAAACATAAGTATATTTTGGTATTGAACATTCCCTCTGTAAGACGACCATTCACAAAGAAGATTTTGCAAGTGTGGCTGGTCGCCTTAGAGAGATTCATTTCGTACAACTTCCCTAAGACGACCACCTCTAAAAGATAGACCTATTTATGAGAATATTAGTATATATTGGTATTGAGCAACACCTCTCTAAGGCGATCACTTGCAAAGATGCACTTTTATTTGCTGCTGGTCGCCTTACAGAGACCTCGTTTTGTGTGGTGTATATGATTACTGTTATTGTTTCCGACAAAAGGGTTTTAAAAATAAAATAAATAAGCATATTTAGTAAAAATTCTCTCTAAACGACCGCCTGCGTTTCCAGGTTACTCTGATGGTCTTAAAGACATCATATTTTCATTCTATTAATTTTATTGTTTACAGGAATTCTATTAACGTCAGGTAGAAAATTAGCATAAACCCATATAAACCAACAGAAGATTTATTATTATACTGATACCAGTAAGAAAACCAGTAAACGTCAATATAAACCAGTACAAACCAGTAGAAAGTTCTGACATTGATGTTGGTTGTATGAGTGTCAACTGATACCAGTAAGAAAAACCCACAGAGATCAATAGAAACCAGTAAAAGTCAGTAGAGACCCACAAAAATTCTATAGGTACAAGTAGAATGTTTTACTGATTTCTATGGGTCATTTTGAAACTAATAAGAAAAACCCACAGAGACAAACAGAAACCAGTAAAAGTCAATAGAAACCCATAAAATTTTATTGGTACCCATAAAAAGTTTTACTGGTTTCTATGGGGCAGTTTTAACAGGGCGTTAACTTCAATCTTAGTTAGTATGCTATTTAATGAAAATCTATAAACTAATAGAGACCTTAGAATAAATTACAGTTAATAGATTTCTACTACCTACTACTTCCACTTCTAACAGTAAAATTCAGATAAAAATATCTGCAATGAAGAAATAAGATACAAGGTGCACTCACTATATGAAAGTAGTTTCAATAACTTCAGCAGTTGCTCATTCAAGTGAATTTGTTATAAGGTGTTCCTTAAAAGATAGATCTCAAACCCAAATTACACGTGGGCCTTTACACCGCCAGGATGACTTCCGGCCCTAGCGTGAAAGCCGCATGGAACTGAACCTCATTCTAGCGAAGAGAACCATATATGCCTAGGTTCAGGATGACAGACAAAATAGTTTCTGATGCTCTGTTGAACTAATACAGTTTACAAAAAAAAAAGTGTTACAATGCAATAATACATATTACATAAAAGCAGATATAAAAACAAAAATACATTAGGCATGTGAATCTATAAAATTGCATTTGTACTTTAAATACTAAGGGTCGATTGCTCTATCTAAAAGCAGCTGAGAGTTTAATAGACCAATAAATAATTTACTTTTAATTTAAACTAAAGATAAAAATTACGAAACTTTTCCAAGTGATAGCAAACTTGATAATTAATAATGGCAATCTATTTTTTCTTTTATTTACAAAATTCGTCTTGGACGTATACAAAAAAGACACATATATTTGTTTGTAAATAGTTATGAACTTCTGTATTTTTCACTGCAATTTTCAGCTACAACAACGGTTGGCGTTTCGATTTTGATACAGTTTGGAGAAAATTATTAGAAACTATCTTCATCACAAATTGTAGATGCTCATTGACTTTAATCTAGCTAGTATTTTAGACCTATTAAATTTCAGTTGCGAAAATAAAAACCATTCACATATAAATAAACTTCCAAATAAAGAGATCGCGCTTAGTGCAAAATTTCGTAACTGAGAGAAAGCATTTATCTTTTGAAAATTACAAAAAAAGTTTGCTCAATTTATATCTGAAGATCTCTGATTTATATGATAATGTTATAAGGTATTTCTCCCGCCTTCCTAGAATGCCTTTGTTGTAGTGGTGGTCTGCATTCTGGGCGCGTATTCTAGAGGTCCGTGGTTCCATTCCCGGGAAAGGCGTTGCTCATTTTTCATCTTCCCTGCTTCCAAAAATACGTAATGTCTCTACAATATAAACAAATTAGCTTAATTTGTAGATTTTCTGGAGCGTACTCACATTCGTTTTAGTGGTAATGAAAATAATGTAAATGGGATAATAATGTTAATTCATTTACGGGAAATATAAACGCGAGCCCCATAAATTCGAGCTTCGAGCTAAAAGCTTCGAGGGCTGCATGCGATCTGTGGGGCCCCAGTTTGAAACCACTTCTATAAGCCATTCATTGCAAATTGTAATGTATCCTGCACGATCAATGGTATATTCGAAACATCGTGATTTAAAGAGATCTGAGAGATTATTTCTTAGATATTGTTGTAAGTTATTCAAAAACCTGAAACTTAATATAGTATTCTTTTTTATTCGTTTGGACTATATAAGTAGAGCATTATACTTTGCAAGACTACTTTACGATCTGAGTGTTTGAATTTAAGGCAAAATTTATGATCACTCACCACAGTAATGTTTGTCAAATAGAATTTATTAGCCGTTAGGACCCAAAAGCAAATAAGTCACTTATTTGCTTTTATCTTATCTAAATGTAAATATATAGCTGCATCCATACTGACTAGTTTTTAAATAGAGAAGTTTAGGTACAATAAGTGCAGAAGTTCGTTTAAACTTTTTTTATTTCTCAGATATCACTGTAACTTAAGGTTATTGAAACTACATTTTTGCAAAAATTTCCGATTGTCGTAAAATTTATGACTCGGCCATTTCACCAGCAAAGAGTAAAAAAGGTTCCTGATATCATAAATATGCTAAACATATCCATTAATGGAATGCTGTGGCACCGCGTAACGACATCCGACACAAAAAGTTCGCATCTCTAAAGCAAAATCTTTGAATAGAATTCGCTCTCCGACAATAATTTATAAAGAACCATGAATTGTGATAAATGAAATATATTTCATTTTATTTATATTTGAAAAGAAACCCCTGGGTATAAATAACGCTTTAACTGTGAGAAATGTCCCTTGTCAAGAAGAAAGATTTTATCGGAAAGCAGCGGGAGAAATGTTTTTAACTATGAGATATTTTTCTCTTCAATCGTTGCGTTTAAATATACATAAAAATACTGATCAGCATTTCGTATTTAAATGGAAGATAATATATGCGCTTAAAAACATTTTATTTAACATTTCACGTAAGCTAATATTTCTTAAATAATTAATAAATTTAACTGATAATTAAAGTCATGTATCAGCAACTTAATTACATATTAATTGATTTAATTGAAGTTTCTATAACTCTGTTGATAGTACTTTGTTAATTAATGGAAAATTATGGCTGGTTGGCTAGTTAAACTCAATATGTTACATTAACAGTGTTCTGTTAATTAATGCTTTTCACTGCTTGCAAATGAGATAAAATTATTGTTCGTAAAACAAAAACAAAACAAAAAAAAAACAGTAAGTAATTTGTAAATATAGAGAGGCTTTTAGCACACTTTTTAGACAATTTTCATTATATTTACAGAAATACTTTACTTAAAAATTTTTGTGTTTTAAATATTCTAATTGATAACCCTTATTTTTTATTATCTTTCTACACCGTAATTTCCAAAACAATGAAGGTTTTTTTTTTTTTTTTTTTTTTTTTTTTTTGTAAAATCGAAAGATGTATTTTATCTCATTCCTCTTGAACAGCTTGTAGAGTCCAGTGGATGAACTTCTGTCTGTATATTGGAGTAGCAGGAAACTACACAGGAGCAGGGTTAAAGTACCCTTTATTAACTCTTTAAAATTTACAATGCGTCAACTCGACTCTATAAAAACTTCGCCGCTACTTGGGCGGTAACTGAAAGTCAGATAATTGAAATCAAAAGTTGAACTGTTTAACAAGTGATAAAACTAGCCTACAGGGCTCAGCGAGTACCCGTAACTTAAACCCCCTTCTACGTTAGTGGAAGCAAAGCAATGCAATTAAGCCACTTGAACCAGCAATAAGTAAACGTTGTAGAGTTCCTCACTTTGTAATTCTAAGTTAATGCTGGAAGTGAAGAATCTTAAGAACTGATAAGTGAATAATCGCATAAGTTCGGTGACAAGAAACAACAAGATAGAAGGGTAACTAACCCTTTATTATTCCAATAAGATTTACCAAAACTCCGCCTGGGAGTGCACAAACAAAGCCCTTACTTGGGCTTGAACTTAAGAGACTAAGAATTAAACTAAAACTAGGATTAACTAAAGAAATGCAGCTGAAGCTATCAAGATTCAAATCGAGTTGGCCCCTTAACTTATTTGACTGCGAAGCTTAGCAAGGGCCTGAGTACGGCTGAGTGTAATAACAGCTTTGAGAGTGAGAGTGACCAAAAGAGGCAGACGCGCGTAAATCAGAAACTCTGATTCTCTCTCACTCTGTAAGTAACTTCGTGATTTAAATACCGCTCCTCCTCATTAAATATTCAGCAGGATTCCAAAACTACGTTCTGCCGGAAGTAGTCAGTTGAAGTAAAGAATTTGACAGGAAAGGAACTTAAACTTTAACTGTTAATAAAATTAACATAATCCTTACAGCGTACCTACGGCAGCGATGGCGATTAAAGCCTAACTCTCTCTTTCTCCTACCGAAACTCGGCTTTTAACTACTTCCTTCAAAATAGAAAATTTGCATTCGTTCACGCGCGCTACAACATTTAACCATTCTGACACTGACAATTAGGGGAATGAAGGCTTACAGGAAAGGTCTAAACTGGAACTTTAAGTAGTTAGTTAAAATAAATATAAATCTCTTCAAGCTTTCGAAAGTTCAAAGAGGGTTGTAAACCAACATTTGGACACTCCGCTTTTTAAAAGTCCAAACATCCATGGGTGATACATCAGGAGATTTAGCAGGGATATAAATTAAGGCTATGACCTTGATACATGTTTCTTGTTCCACTTTTTTCCCCAGGAAATTAACAGTGGATTTTCATGTGTGGCTTGTTGCTTTATCTACTGATTGATGGCAGTTTGGTAAATAGAAAATGTTTCATATTTTAAAATTCGGTATAAAATATATTCCTGATAATGTTTCGAATTCATCTTAACATTTTTACCACTCTCTTTATTTTTAATATGTCGTTCTGTGAAAACCTGCAACAATCATAAATCTCTTTGAAAAGCTTAATTTCTTTCAGCTTAATTTCTTTCTCTCCTTAAAGGACCACTTCAATATGCTTGTATGTTTTTCAGTAAGAGAAATGATTATTTAAGAATTTGAAGAAAGATTTGCCACTTAATAGTGTTGCATTCTACGGGTTCGTGGATTTAGGGTGACTGGTGGCAGCACTTGATGAAGAGTCAAAACACAGTTTTTGTAGCCATTATTACACAGGACAGTTTCAAAATCACTGTCGTCGGAAAACTACGACAAACACACTAAAACAATCAGCAGCACGGCCTTCGGTCTATAATGGTAAAGACAGCTTCACGGCGAAACACTAAAGTACAGCTCTCAACTCGGTCGATCGCTCTCGGAGTCCAACACTCTCAAGATAAAACTCGACGATACGCTACTACTCCGCGTACAGGCAAGGTGTTACAGTGTTATGTTGCTGGCTAAGAGAGGGCGCATCTTTTTTATTTTATGTTTAATTTTCTTACCTCTTTGCGGATTATTTGATTGAGATATAGTAGCAACGATAGAAAAATGATGAATGTTCTGTTAGCAAACAAATTGTAAATAGCTGTAAGTAAATTTTTCCATGTAAAATAATGGCAATTCGTAAAATAATGGCAGAGAATAATTCAAAACAGGGTTTATATAGCTTTTGACCTGCCTTCGAGCACATTCTGGGGTAAATCGATAAGAATTCATCATAGAATGTTCTCTCTCTGTCCGTGGCTTATCGCCAAATAGGTGATTTCGCGCCAAATATGGCAACCTGCTTTTTCTTGCCATTTTCCGGCAACCCTAAACCCATCTTGCAGTGAAGCTATCTTACCGCGACTGGGCATTTCGTAACAATATATTGCCTACTTACCTATGTCCATCCTAAAGTTACCAACAACAATAGCTTTCCAACAAAACAGTGCCTCATGTTCAGAGGAGTCTAACATTTCATGATCTCTAAAAAGGTTATCGAAAGAGTTTTACTTAAAGTTTATGTATGTGTGATTTAAACATTTACATTATTAGTAATCGTCAATAGTTTCATTAATTTCTACTCCATCATCCACCGAATCAGAGTTACAAATCTTTATGGTTGCCTGATTTA